CTTTTATTTAAAAAGTTTTTAAAAAAGTTTTCTCTTGAATTTAAGTATTTATTTGAATATAAATTTATTTTTAAATGCATTATTAAATCAGCAAATCTTCAAATTTTTAGTTTGAAACTTAATCTACGAATGAGTATTTTAAGTAATTTTTGTAAGATATAATATAAATTTTATTATTATATTTAAGATTTTTTCAATTTTAATAAACAGTTAGAATTATAGTAATAGTTATAAATATCTAATCCTCATAATTCTTAAAGTTAATTAATAATAACTATTAAATTTTTTTTAAATTTAAATTCCATATTAATCTTGATAATTTATAAAATCATAAATTTATATCATATATAGTTCAGAAGTTAAGTGATCAGTAGATTTTATATTTAAAAAAATGATTTTTTTTATATAAATAATTTCATTTTTTATTATTTAACGTCTAAACTACTTAAATATATAGATTTTTTTAAATATGTTAATTTTCTAGAAATTATTATTCATTTTTTATAGAATTTTTAAATAGATTATATAGATAGTTAGAGAAATTCAATAATACTATATTTTTATTTTTATTTTTTGAATAATGTTTATATTTATTAATTTTTGTCAAATTTACTCAAAGTTATCTTTTCTAAAAAATTTATAGATATAAGCTAAAAGGTTACTTTTATAAAAATTATATGTAAAATTAACATCAGATTTTTGCTAAAGAAAATTAGTTTATCAAATTATAAATTTGAAAATTATAATATGGACTTTTTAGCAGATATTATAACTTTTGTTTATTACTGAAATCTTTATTTAAATAGTATTTTCAAATATAATAAACGTCATAATTTATTATAATAGATATAAAATAGCTATATTTTTAAAATTTCATTTCATTCATTATTGAAATTTATAAAAAAAACTATTTTGTTTAATTTATTAAAAAATATCAATATTTTACAATCAAAATTCATTAATCATTTTAATTTTTAATTTATATGTTATACAAACTTATTACATGTGATCAACATTAATATTGTGTTTAAATTTTAATAAATTTTAATTAGTGTTATTAATTAACTTTAAGAATTATGAGAAGTTAGATATTTATAACTATTACTGTAAATTTTATTATTATTTAATTAATTAAATATTTCAGTTTATCTAATCAATAATTAATAATAATATTAAAAAGTAAATATTTTGTTTAGATTAGTTATTAAATTAATATAAAAGTTATATTCTATATTTTAAAAAACTACTAAATATATATTTATTATTTATTATTAATTATAGTAAAATAAACAATATAAGTTTTTTTTAATTATAAATTAATTTTTAAATAAGTTAAAATATAATTAATACATAATTTTTCTTTAATATATTCTTTATTTAAAATTTAATTATAAACTATTATATTAACTTGCTTATAAATTTATTATCAAGTTTTAATTTAAATATTTTTAAATTAAATAGATTGTAAAATTAGTTTAAGAATATTAAATACATATAAGATAATAAATATTCTTCAAATTTTTAACTTTAATAAGTAAAATTAATTTTTATATATATATTAAGAATTAAACAAGTAAATTAATGATAAATATTTTAAATATTATATTTAACTTAATATAAAATTTTAATATAACAAATCTTTAACTTATTACTTAATATTTTAAATTCACTTTTTTTCTATTATAACTTTTTTATAATTATGTGAATTCTTTTTATTAATAATAAAAATGTAATTATTTAAGTATTAATAACAATTTTAAAAATGTATCATATATATTTATATTTTTATATTTAAATATTTTGGTAATATTTATAAAGTAACAAGTTATAATTTTGTATTTATTAAATAAAATTTATTTATATTTATTTAAATAATATTGTAAAAGATTTGAAATTTAAGATTAGAAATCAATCTTTGTAATACAATATTTAACACATCTTGAAGTTGCATTATAATACAACCATCTTTTAGTAATAAAATATTGATGATCTGATAATATGTATTATAATGTTTTAAGAAACTTATCAACTGGTTCTAAATTAAAAAGTATATTGATAATTATTTGGCATTGTTTTATTTAAAACAATTCAATACTTTTGATTCATATTAAATTCTTATTTAACAATGTTATTAAATCATTAGTTTAATTTAAAATTCAAGAATTTAAAATATCAACAGATCAAAATATACAGAATGGAGGAGTTTAAGAAAATGTGTTTGATTTAAACATCTATTGGAAAAACAAGATTAAAATTTACCAAAATAATCGAAAAATATTTTGCTTCAGTATTTGAAGTAGTCATGAAACAAAGTTTTAAACTGCTATTATATAATTCAATTATTAAAATACAAAAATTTACATTAATAAAATTTTCTGAAAGAGCGAGCTCGCTCATCTTTCCCTAAGAATATTAGTATATGCTGAAATTATAATATGAATGAAATAATAAAAAAACGCAAATTTTTTTAAAAAATTGAATATATTTTATTGTCGGAGAACAATTATCGTGTTACATAAATACATAAACGACCGATTTCTAAATACGGGGATATCACATGTTTTTTGATTGTGTGACAACGCGAAGACATGAGGCATACATGCAAACAAAAATAAGATATACCAAAATCGGTATCGCAAATAATAACACAAAGGCCTAGAATTGCCCAAATATTCTTCAAAAAATTTGATTTGAAAATATAATTGTTTTCAATCAAAATATGAATTCAGGATTTCTTTTCTTTCGTTTCGTTCGAATAATCGCTAATTTTCGAGAAACGTACTTTCTGATAAACCGAGGCTAATACTCGGCCTTTAAATCCCTTTAGGCTTCGTGTCGATCACTGTAATCAAATCTTTAAAGTGTATTAATTATCGTTTCTTTTTATAATATGTTGGTTACTTTCAAGGAATCCAAATTTTAAAAGAATACCTTAACTTGCTTTATAGTCCAGATAATGGCCAGTTCAATCGATGAAAAAGAAGAGATTGAGAAAGGAATTAATGATGAAAAGAATAGAACACGTGTGATTGCTCTTGCGGTTCGCGAAGCTGTGGCCGTAGCCTTTGGTGTTAATCAACCAGACTGGGATGCCGCTTGTAGAAATATTCTACAAAATCATTTATTAACGGAACAAGAAAAATCAACTATAATAGAATTACTTAAGCAAAGGGAAAGAAATTAACAATCCGTAAATAAAAGGTAAAGCAAAGTATTTCTTAAGACAGCATCTCCGCAAATTTCACACCCATTGACAATTAATTAACCAAAATAGTTATTTGTGGTCACCTAAGTCCGATTTTCTGGTTTTTAAGGTGAAAGAGAGTAAGCATGCAACTTTTGTTTTTTTGGATATATGCGGAGATGTTGTGAAGGCCTTATTTTTGTTCAAAAGAAGTTGATTGACTTTTTTTTTTTTTGGATATTTTAGGTGAAAAATAATTTATGACCCCATGTATGATTATTTTTAGAATTCTTCTTTATGCGCATTAAGGATCAGATCTTCGAACATTTTAATTATCTATTTCCATCAACGTAATTTTAATTTTTTTTTTTTGAGTAACGTTCGTGTTTACTTTTCTCGTGAAAAAATAGTAGTATCGTATCTTATTTTATGATCTCTTTCTTAATTTTTTTATTAGTATTCGTATACATTTTATATAAGAGATTTATTTATATTTAAATTAAGCTATTTTTAATACTTATTTTTCTTTTCATTGTAACTTTAACAATAAAATAAGCATGTAAGGGACAAGTTTATAATAAAAAAAAGATTAAATATGCTTAAGAAACTTTTATAGTAATAAATATATAAAGGACACAGAGTTCAAAAATTATCGATCCGATGTTAGCGATGAATCAATGAAATGTTAGTGTCATTAGAATGATTAAAAAAAAATTGATTGATTTATCATAAGGTAGATATTATTATTTATAAAAGAAATAAATAGAATAAATAAACTAAAATAAAATGAAATTGAATTAAAGGCGAAAGATAAATTCTTTTGACATAAAAAAAAAAAAATTACTGCCAATACTACAAAATCATATTTGGCATATGAAGTAAAAATTTCCTTGCCAAAAAGCAATAAAAATTTGTAAATTATGGAATTTAAAAATTTTTTTTATTCAGAATATACAATCTTTTATTCGAATTATGAAGAAATAAATATCTCTGTTTTGGAGAACTTAGTGGTCCAATCAAAATTGCCAATTTTGAATATCATTTTCGCTTTTTACAAAATTTTATGACATTTTTTTTGATGGGGTACAATACTTCAGGATATAATTGAATTTATCATGAGACCATACATTATTATTATTGTGTATTGCCTTTATCGTCATTAATAAAATTGATAGTCAACCCTATTACGTAAATGCCATATCTTTGGTCCCGATTCAAACGTGTCTTCCAACGAGTTATTGATCGATAAATTCCATTAGGATTCTATGCACAAACCACATTTATTTATTTATTTATTTATTTTGTCAACCCCCAAAATTGTTTTAATTTATTAAAATGAGAAATATCAACATTTTTTTTTAAAAAAGAAAATTTTTTATTTTTGGATCTGATAATCAATCAAATTCGAATTTCAGTAAAAAGGTATGGCTTAAAAATGCAACATTCGCTAAACCTTATTTAAAAATTCATTGTTCATTATTTAGCAATGCGCATGTAAATTGCATAAATTTGCATCCAAGGCGTCATTATAGAGGTGGTTTTTTTAAAAAATTCTTTACCTGCATAGTTGACAAAAAACCTATTTCAAAGACAAAATCCATGGAAATTCATCTAAGTCGGCTTAGGTTTAGAAGGAATAAGATGATTTCCATGGAATTTGTTCGAATACATGCATATATATACTTACATGCGTTAAGATAAAACTCTAATTCTATAAAAAAAAAAAAAAAGAGTTTTTAAAATTTTAAAATTTGATTATAGTTAATTTGAACCTTTTCGTAAAATTAATCCTTTATACCAACATCAAGAACGAGAAATGAGTTTAGCCAATACAAAAGCCACAAAATCAAGACCTCTTATCAATAACCCGATATTCCCTTGGTCTCAGATAAAATTATTGCCAAATGATAATAATTTTTTTCCAAGATATGGTCATTCTTCTTGTCCAAATGCGATTAAAAATGAATTATATTTCTTTGGTGGAATATCAAATGAAAAATTTAATAATGATGTATTCTTATTAAAAACTAGTATGTATTTGTGATTTTGAATTTATTATTATCAGCTCGAAATAAAATATATAAAATATATCTATATTATTTTTTTTTTATCGATGCCTATAATTTTTTTTCTAGAGACTTGTAATATTCAAGCTATCAAAACTACTGGTAACATCCCATCACCTCGTATTGGTCATACGCATGTACGAGTGGGATCAAATTTAATAGGTATGTAAAATTTAATAATTATCTTGGATAGCCATCGATTGGTTGATCAAACTTTTTTTTAACTTCTTTTTTTTTTTTTTAAAAAAAAAAAGTCTTTGGAGGAAAACTTGAAAACATTGAAGATAAACCAGATTACAATTTATATGTTCTAAATAAAGGTAAATTGTAATGAAATCGAAATAAAATTGTAACATAAGAAGAGATGCATTTTTTTTTTTTTTTTTAACTGCATTCGATTTATAAATCAGAGACAAAAAAATGGACAAAACCATCTATAAAGGGTGTTACGCCTCTTGGAAGGTTTGGTCATACAGTCGTATTAATAGGTTCTATAATGTATATATTTGGAGGTTGTATAGACGATTATTATTTAAATGACTTGGTCGCATTTGACACAAAATATCGTAAGTTGTAAATATTGTTGCAAAATAAAAAGAAAATGGGTCCTTTCCCCACGAATACGATTAATTTTCTTTCTTTTTCTTATTGCTAGTTGATAATAACGAAGCTCATTGGGAATTTATTGATCCAGCAAATGAACCTCCACCTGGAAGGACAGGGCACATCTCTTGTGCATATAAAGGAAAAATTTACATGTAAAAAGTTTTTTCTTTCTTTCTTTCTTTTGGATAATTTATTCGTAATCTAAAATATTTTACGCGTTTAGATTTGGTGGAACAGATGGTGAAAAATGTTATAATGACACTTGGTGTTACGATATAAATACAAGGGAATGGACAGAGATAACTTGTAACAATGTTATTCCCGTTCCACGTGAAAGTCATGGGTCAGCTTTAGTTAACGATGTTTTATTTATTTTCGGTGGAAGAACAAAAGAAGGAAAAGAATTGTCTGATTTAGCAGCTTATGGAATTAATAGTATGTATTTGTCCATTATTATTATTATTATTATTTATTATTTATTATAAAAAAAAAATTTATTTTAATTTCTTATTATTATTATTTTTTTTTTTTTTTATAAAATAAGAAAGGAGGTGGTATATGTTTCAAAGAATGGGTCCTTCACCCACTCCTAGATATTGGTTAACCTTATCTTCTTCAAACCACAAGGTGATGATATTTGGAGGAGATTCCGCGAACCCGTCTAAGCCAGATAAAGAAGGACTTATTCACGTTTTGGATACCTGTAATTATAAAAAAAAAAAAAAAAAAAAAAATTATTTTATTTATTTTCCAATTGATTTATTTATTTATTTATTTTTTTTCCTCCTACAGCAAAGATAAAGTATCCAATCGGATCATACCCTCAAAATTCTTCACAATCTCAATCAGCTCCTTCCCGTTTACAAATAGTTTTATCTTCATTTCCTCAAAAGAAATCACTTCCAAAGTTACGATCGCAATCATCAAAAAAAGGAAAAGAAATTGTTACCGAAATTAATAATAATAAAAAAATCGAATTAAAAGCAAGAAATCCTGATATAAAGTCTTCGTCAAGACCATCATCGTCATCATCTTTTTGTAATATTAATGTTGCAACAATATCAACACGTGAACATTTAACGAGAACTGGTGGAATTAAACGTCAATTAAAAAATCCTTTAGAGAAGAGGGATGATGATAATAATAATAATTCTAGACCTTCTTTGATAATTGATTCAAAAAAATTATCAGTTACGAATGAAAAAAAAAAAATACAAAAGGCTTCGCCTCAAAAAGAAGTAAAAAATAATTATAAGAACACAGCGGACATTTCATCAAGAAAACAATCACAACGAACTAAATATTTTGAAAACAATAAAATTAACGAATCACCTAAGGGTGGGTTGAATAGACAAAATAGTGATCGTTCCTCCATAAATCCAAGTCCTAAACCAAAAGGTGCAAGAATGTTAAGAGAGGAGAAAAATCAAAGAAAATTAAGGAATTTCGAAAATCCCGAAACTTCTAGTATCAATTCCTCTAAAGATTCTTCAATCCCTATTAAGGGCGCGTCTTCAGTTAATTTAAAAGAAGAAATTCCCGACGATCCTTCACCGACAATTCAAATTACGTCATCCAAAGACGTTTATTTCCAAGAAAGTAGCAAACCACCACCAGTTCGTCCACCAAGGCGTCGTTTATTTTCAGATCCGTCATCGGTTAACGTAAAACAGACGAAACGTGTTACGGTAACTTACAACGAAGAAGACGATTTGATAATAACAACCACCCCTTCCTCTTCAATAGCGAGTTCAGACGGTGATCATTATCCGACGACACGATTCTCTTCGTTGGAACGGGAAAATTTTTTAGAAAGATTATCGGAAGCAGATTTTAAAATATCCGAATTAAGAAAACGCGAAAAGTTATATCAAGCTGAAATCGATTTGGCGAGAAAAGGCGGGTTCATACCAACCTTCAGCTTTAATGAATCTAATAATGATCTGTTGGAAAATATGATTGATCTTAATGAATTTATTGACATTGGAGAACCAGGAACTGAAAAATTTAAAGTTATCGAAGCTATTATTAAATTAAGTCACCAATTACAAAAGGCCAAGGTTCAAAACAGACAACATTTTATTTTAAATTTTTTTTTTATCATTTCAAAAAAGGAATGAATGTTGATTTCTTCATGTATCACTTTTCTCTTCGTTTTATAGGAAGCTATTTCGAATCAAGAAAGGATCGCTTCACAAAAGGTTTTAGATTTTGAAAGATTATACGATGCGTCACTGGAAGAAACGTCATATTTTAAAACCAAATTCACCGCGTTGATAAACGAATACGAAACCGATAGATTAACGAAATCCGCGAATGAAGTTCAAGAAATAAAGCAACAATTAAGCGAAAAAACACAGATATTAGAAAAGACAACCAAGGACGTTGAAGATGCAAAGGATAAGGTTGAATTTATACGAGGAGTTTTTTCAAACAAGATCAATCTTGAACCAAATGTTCAAGGAAATATGTCGGCCCGTTTTAGAGAGATTTCGGCTCGATGTGATGAATTAGAAGCTCTCCATGAGACGGCACATGAAGAGTTACGAGCTACTTTATCAAAATATAATGAAACCGTAAAAAAAACTCAAGGAACGTTATCCACAAGAAGCAAATCACCACTTAATTCATCAAAAGGATCGAAAGGGTTCGAAAAATCGCAACAACAACTTGTAGATATAAAAAATAGATTAAACCAGGTCGAATTTGATTATCACATAGCCGTGGAATACACGACAAATACAGAACAAATATTAAATATAATGAAAGATGAATTAATGCAAAGTAATTTAGAAATGGAAACATTAAATGAGAAATTAATTGACGTGGAAAGTCATAATGAAAAATTAGAAAATAGGCTCAGAGAATTACAAGACACGATGAATTCTCATTCCAACGTTAGAAATTCCATATTACAAGAATACGCAGATCAACAATTAGAAGAACAAAGGAAGGATTTTGAAAGGGAGAGAGAATCACTTTATCAACAAATTCAGGATTTACAATCCAAGATTAACCTTGCAAAAGAAGAGAAGAATCTAATGTATCAAGGTTATGAAGCTTTAAGGAGAGTTTATGAATCTTTGAGGAGACAGAATGATTCATTAAAAAAATCAAACGAAGCATTGAAGGAACAATCTTTGGAATCAGAAAAGAAAGGTAGACAATTAATAAGTGAATTGCTTAAGAGGGGAACCGAACTGAAACGAGTAGAAGAGAATTTGAAGCCACCCTTGGAAGAAATTCAAGAGGAGATGGAGCAACATAGATGGGAACAAGAAAAGGAATCGTTGAAACGAGAAATTTCACAATATCAGCAAACAAAAGTAGGCCTTGAGAAAAATAATACCGAATTAAAACGAAATGTAGATGAAACGGAAGGTAAGATTGCAATATTGTTGGATCAAATGGAGAATGTTGTTGATTCGTATAGAGGAATTGAAGATAACATCAGAGAGGGTGGTAGTCCCGCTTTGATCGGACCTACGTTACGGAATTAAATCAGTTCAAGCTCACTTAAAAAAAGTTTTAGTTCTTCAAACTCAGATGCTGGTTCGTCATCACATAGCTTAGTTTAAAACGATGTATTTTTTAGATTTATTGTAAATTAAATGGTTACTACTCATACATAAACTATTTATATCCGTTCAATACAGGATAAAAAAAAAAAAAAAAACAAAAAAAAAAAAATTTAAAATAAATTAATACAAATAAATAAATGACCCATCATTTATCATCAACAACATCATCATCATCGTTTCCACTTTGAATATTTAGTTCAAGTATGCTAGCACTTTCACGTAACGATTCTTCTTTTGGCAAGTTACGTAAATGTAATGGATGTGAAGTCCTTTTCGATCTTCTTCTTCCACTTTCGCTATCAACTTCACTCGCAGGGACAGAATTTAAAAGTTGTGAACTCAATCTTTTACTTATTCTTTTACTATTTAACGATTGAAAACTCTGAAGTGAATTGTTTCTGCTATGTAAGCTTTGAATTATTGAAAAATATGTCGTGGAAGCAATGCTTGCATCTCCGACGCTTGAATCACGTCTATGATGAGTTTTTAGATGTTCCGTTGGAATTTCATCAGGAATAAATTCTTCCACATTTCCGAATGGTAACGTATCACCATGTTCCCTTTCTAATTGATATCCTGTTATATAAGGGGTGAATGGAGTTGACGGGAATTGGTCGTCATCGTTGTTGGTCGCTTGACTTGACAATTGCATTTCAGGAATTGGTTTCTTTGATGGTGATTTCTCGGAAAGATGGACGTACGTTGTTGTTTGGATACCATGCGATTTCATCGACGTTGATCTTTTCAAGCTTAATTTTTTACTAAATGGGGCGGCATTCCGAGTTGGTTTGACGGCACTGGAAATTAAAATCATGATGAATACCGCGATTCAAATTATAATATGAAAAAGATGAAGGTTATAAAGTAGAAGCTTACTTGAAGACGATGATGAACTGTGCTATTTGAAGACAAATAGGTTCGACGAAATTCAAAATAAAAAAATAAATCACATTGGTGGTGGGGTCATGGGTCATTGATTTGTAGGAGAGTCCAAATATAAAGTAAACCAGTATAAATGTAAATCCGAGGAAGGCGAAGACCATCACGACGGTCGATAAATTTATCGCGGCAACTTTTAACGATTCATATTTCAATTGTAACGTAAGGTCGTCCCTTGGTCTATTCTGTAACTCTCTCATGTGATATTTTAACAATGAAAATAATTTGTGCCAAAAGTACAATAATGATGATAAATATGTCGTTAACCAGAAAACCCAAATTAAATATTTCGTTGTAAATAGTTTAATCGACACGGTTGGGATTTCTTCAAGGTCGGCGTAATATCCGATCATGTATGATATTGAAGTGTTAACGATATATGGACCAATTATTAAGAGGAATGCTCCAATATCAATTAGGAACTTGTTCGGTATGAATCGTTCCGAGTAATGCATGGTCGTTGGTTCCAAGGTAGGTATCGAATAAACTAATGAGACGTATCACGTGTTAATTCCATACATGTCACGTGCTCAACAACGATGAGGAGATTAAAAAGCAATCTTAACTGATTCCGACAAGGTATAATACCGAGAACGCAAACGATGTTTGTCGAGGTAAGTCATCCAAAACTGAAGGTTCATTCAAAGAAAGTTAATTAGCATTCGCCGGGTATTCATACATATACGTAACTTACTACTTACTCTCGGCCCATCTTGAATTTGGATATGCGTTGTTTATTAAGAGAAGAAGTCGAACAATATGTAATAGACAGAAAGAGACCGTTACTAAGTGAAATGTATCATGGGGTCTCGGACGTATTATGCCTGCAATTATTCAACGTTTTTTAAACACATTAAACATTTTTATCTAGATCCCGGGAATACATGATAGATCATATGAAATTTACCTCTATCTCTTGAAGGGGGGAATAATAAAGATTGTTTTTTACAATATATCCTATACCACAAAAACCATATAGAAGTTACCGCAATAAACGAAGTGTAAGGAATTAAAATCCAACTTCCCGTTCTTAATAAATGCGATTCGGTACATTCAATTTCGTTTATTCGAAAATCGCACACACACATTAAATGTGCTTTTTCATCTTGATGTGATTCAACACATGCTAAACTAAAATTATTTATCAGTTGAACCATTTAAGCAACCGATGGTTTTTTTTTAAAAAAAAAAAAAAAAAAAAAAAAATTTAGCAGTAAGTATAATTAATTTTTAGATATTTTTGAAGATATTATCATGTGTAATGCAATAGATAAATGCTATGTTAGCTTGATTGAAATAAGGTTATCTAATAAGGGTCTGGAGAGAATCGTAGATTTTGATAAAAGGAATGTTTCATTAAAAAAAAAAAAAAAAAATTATTTATATATAATATTTATAAAAATGATAATGAATGAAGGGAAATTTTAGAAAGGTGAAAGTCGCTTGTATCTAACATTATTATTTTTTTTTTTTTTTTTTTTGTGTAGAAATAAATTTTCGAATATTTTGTTTATATCTTTCGATTTTTTTTTTTTTGTTGGTAGGACTACATGTAACCTGTCAAAGCCACGAAATATTTTACACGATACAAAAAAAAAAAAAAGAAAAAGAAAGAAGGTTTATTATAAATATAGTAATACGGAATGAAATTGTGGACTTGTTTTTTTCATGTAATTCGACAATTAAATAATTTGTGTACATATAGTATAACTTTCATTATGTTGTGATGATATTTTACTTTGATACAAAGATACAAAAGAAAATTTGTGGAATTATGTATTCCGCCTCTTAATGACATTGGTTAAATCGTATGCCGATGATGTCACGTGTCTTCATTGTTTAAAATATTTGTGCCTCGTCTTTCTACGGGCAACACGAGAAATCTGTGACTAACCAATCATAACTTATCGTAAATTCTACCATCAAAAGATTGGTCTTTAGGGAAATATTGAGGGTCTATTATTATAATGCGCCATGTAAACATGAAAGACCGAAAATTTTGTGCTAACCTAAATTAAATCAAGGAGCTGCAAACCAGTGAAATTCATGAATGAAATATTTTTCTAAAAATAAGGAAAATATGCATACTTATTTTACAATGAATAATCTGTAATCCCATATTATATGTCCTAAAATAAACAAACGCAAATGATGTTTCAATATATCAAATAAAATTGTGTATATTTTTTTAATTAGGCACTTTAGTTCATATTTTTATGAACCTTGTTGAACATCATTTTAACCTTGGGTCGTTTATTAAAATTCGATCCATGTGTGTCGGGAAAGGAAAAAAAAATAATAAGAGTAATCATCACGTTTAGCTTTAGTATTAATCGATATATATATGATTCAACCTGTAAATAGGCAAAAGCAAAAGATCCACCATGCATTATTTTGTAATTGAATTGAACTCCAGTATATATATGGATTTTCTCATTATGGATAGCGTTTCGTATTAACATTTTAACCCAAATATATATTTATTTTGACGTCAATTACATTCGCGGACTAAAAGATTTAATTAAAATTTTTATTAATTTTCGGGGAGGCTATCCCTATTATGATGTTGGTAAACTATAAAGAAATGGTTTTTTAAATCGTATGATCGAATCTTACTGCGTAAATGTATTACGTAACATCAATCCAACTTTAAACTAGTTTAGGTCATGACCGATTATGACGAAATTGAGATTTTCTTAAAATCAACATTCCTTTTATCACAACTGAACTTATTTATCACTGCTTTTAAATCCCCACTCCACTTACCCGTTTAAGAAAACATCAGCCACGTAATTAATTAGATCAACAACAAAACCATAATTTTAAAAAAAGATGTACCGCGTCAGAACATTATATTTTCGATCAATTTGACGCCTTTTTTAAATGATTTCTATATAAAGGGATAATGAATGCTATTTTAAGAATTCGCGTCATATCATCACGTGAATTTTAACTGTTTGACCATGTTCGGATAGCTTCATGGCCAGGTTCTCGGCCATTATCGTGAAGGTTCGGGAAAAAGCATGGAAAGTTGTATGATGATCCCGGGAAATTTCCAGCATTCTCCAATGCATAATCTGAGAACGCCAATATGACAAAGGATCCGATTAAATCGAGTAAATCTGCGAGATATCTTTTTACTTTCAATTTAATTACACAAAGTAATACAATTTAAATAGTTTTTGCATATTTGCTATGTAAGATCATCAAAAAATATTAAGGGAATCCGGGTGTTCTTAAGCAAAGACCCATGAAGATCAACATAACAAACACCATGGAATCCAAGTACGGACGTGTTTGTTATTGTGAATATTCATTTTAGTCGGGTATTGATCATATTTATATTGTCTACGATTCTCTTTTTGGAAGCGCCCTCTAATCAAACCTTAATTCACCCCTTTTAAAATGAGCTTTATCCATCAATACGTTGCACGATATCCTTCCTCATCATCGTGCACAACATTTGATTATTATACAAATGCTAACATTATTTATGTCTGCGAATGTAAACTTCGTTAACATGGCTGTGACATATATTCAGATCACGGTTTCTTTTCTGTCGTACAAAAATGACATAAGGTGCTACCCAAATAAATCTTTTGCTGCGCAACTTGTGATTGGATTGACGTTTAGTTTAATTAAGTGAATGAACATTTAAACCATACGATGACGTTGTTATGATTAATCACGTGCATTTTCTCCTTGTTCCTTAAAAATTATATAAACCGCTGAACTTGGGACGTTCTCCAGAAAAAAAAAAAAAAAAAAAAAATAAGCTCTCTTGCAAAAGAAATTAATTTTCCTCCATCGGCTAATCAAACGATGCTATGCTATAATAATCGTTACAGAGCATGGTTCATTTTGTATTTCTAAAAAGATAAAAATGAGAACTACGAGTGTCATCTCTTTAAGTCCCATTACGAACACCAGATTAACCTTACATTTGTTAAATGAAAAAAATAATCTTTCAAAAGTACCAAATGAAATCTTGTATGTTATCATGAATATGCTAAATGGAAATGACCTACAACACCTTTCCTGGACTTGTCGATTCATGTGTCACGTTGCGCGCAAATATCACTTTGGAATAGTCTCTCCCGTGTGGGAACCGGCAGCAATCTCTAATTTCCACAAATTTCCGATCTCTTATTTTAGGGATGGCGTGTGGTTTAATAACGTTTTTTATTTACCGATCTTCCATAAGGAATTTTCAACTTGTTGGATGCTTGATTTAACCGCGAGACCGATCAAGTGGGAACAAAAACCTTTAAAATTCAAATTTACTTCCAATCGTAAATATGAACCAACACGACATTACGCTTCCGCCGCGATCAAAAATTTAATTTACATCTTTGGTGGTGAAAATATTAATAACGGTGTGACTACAAACGTATTTTATGAGTTGAACGTTTATACATTTGAATTACAGATTTTAAACGAAAATGATGAAAATGTTCCGAGACCCCGAATGATGCATACACTTGACGCTATAGGTAACCATCGTTTGGCGATGTTTGGCGGACGAAGTTCGATTTTTAACGACGGTAAGTATTTTTTTTTTTTGCTTAGATAAATAAATGAATGAATGGATTAAAAACATGCATATATCTCCACATTAATCATCATTGCAAAAAAAAAAAAATCGATTAATAGATAAAAAATTCGAATTTGATAGCAAAGACTTTGCGATTTATAGTACAAGGACAAAGAATTGGACTTTTTATAATAATGAGACGCCTAACATCCCATATCGACGTTCATTACATAGTTCTTTCGTGATGAATGAAAAACTTTATATATATGGTGGACAACAATCTAAATCCTTCTCGAATTCTTCACAAGTTCACGATGACGAAGACGTTTCAGTTTTCGATTTCAATCAAGATAAATGGTATAAATTGTTATCTCCTCCTGATGAGGGGAAATCCTTACCCATGTTGCTCCCATCTGATTGGATAATGACATCATCCGTTAATCAGAAATCGATACCAGGTAAAAGAATGCGTGTCGCAATGTTTACGTTGCATAATCGAATCGCGATACTCGGAGGTTCTAAGGAAATAAATTGGAACAACGAAGAAGAAGGTCGTCCATGGGAATTAATGTGTTTTCTATCGAATGCTAAACATACTTGGGAACATATACGAATAAGAAATTTACCACAGATAGAAATTTTAACGTTTTATTGGGAAGGTTGGAATATTCTTGACGGAGTGTTTCTTATCGGAAGAGATACAAACGAAGGAAAACTCATTATGGGCTGGGTTAAAGATTCGACATATTTTCTCTAAGCATATATTACCATTATATATTTTTATTTATGAATTTTACATATTAAGGTTTATAAGCTTTCGTTAATAATATTAAAGTCAATTACATCATTAAAATGTGAATACCATTAAAAAAAAAAAATAAATAAATAAAAATGAATAAATAAACCACGTTCTCCTAAATATGGATCAATCCGTTAGTTTAAAATAACGTTAAAAAATTTTCTTGCGTACTCAATCTCTTCTAATCTAGGTTTAAATTCATAATCATTATAATTTACCAAGGATAATCTTAATCTTTTTAATCCTGAATTCTTTTTTTCGTAATCTATTAGCAAATTTATAAAGTTCGAATCTTCATTTTGCATGTGTGTTTTACATAATTCTAATGTGGTAAGTTTTGCCTGACATTTTTCCAGGATTATTTTCAAAGGTTCGATGGAAATATTACTTTGCAGTGAGAGGTGAAGTAATGATGACGGAATGGATGTTGAAAATTGCGTGATGTAATCATCTTTGAGCCATTCGAATTCAATCTTCTTTCCTCTCTTTAATTCTAAGTACTTTAAGGAGTTCAAGGAAGAAAGTAACTTTAAGAAAGATCTTTGAAGAGGGGAATTCGTTTCAATGCACAATTCTTGTATTTTTGGACAATGTTCTATAATGTCTTGAAGAACTTTTTGAATGAACCCATTTAATACAAGTCTTTGTAAATTGTTACTTATCATTGAAAGTAGAATAGGTAAGTATTCGAATGAGGATAATTTTGGGATTATTAAATGTAAATTTTTGATGGAAAGTTGATGCGTCGTAAACTGGGAAGGGATATGAGTAAAAGACATGGAATTAAGATGTAAAGTTTCTAAACTATTTAAAGATATTAAAGTTTGAAGGAATGAAACATCAAAAGGAAAGTTTGATGATAATTTAAGTTCCTTTAAAGTTGAGGCTTGACTCGTTAAGGAAGAGAAAATCTTTAGAGAGTGATGAAAGTTCGTCGTCTCAAAGCTGATCAAATTATTTTGTCTTAATAATAGTTGTGATATAGTTTCATCAATTTGTGAAATAGTGTGGCGATCATCCCACAACAATATATTTATACGAAGGTGTTTGATGTTTGTTGCGCAACGTGACATCATTTCAATCAATTTGGAAACGGCTTTATCATCTTGATTCGAATGTCGATAATCTTGTTCATCTCGATATGTTAAATTGAACATTTCAAGCTTAAATAAGGAATCATGATCCTTTCCAAGTAAAGAATTCTCCATGGAACTTAAGGGAGAATATTTATTTCCAATACAAACGATGCCCAAATCAATTAATCTATCGCTGCGTGTAAAGATTAATTTAAGTATTTCATTTGTTACGTTTTGAGTTAATTCCTTCGAAGTGAGCCATTTATTAATCGCCAATCCAAATTTTTTTGAATTAAATTTTTTCAAATATTTTGGATAATTAAAAAATGGCCTAGGATCAGGTAAAGTTACCTCTTGGTCCAATAAACATTTTTTATCAACATCTGATAAGCAAGAGAAGTAAGTTTTAATAATCTTTATATGTCGGTCTTCGGATGATAATTCAAAAGGTTGACTCCATAATAGAGGAGTAACGAGACGACACCAAAGTCGGTTAACTAGAACGCAAGAATAAAGAGATGATCCGTCATCTTTAAGATGGGTGAAAATATCTAACAAACAGTCGGGTGGTAATTGACGCTTTAGTAAACTCATTTTAAATAAATTACGGGGGGGGGGGGGGGGGGGGGGAAAAAGAATTTTGGACTAACTCACTTTTTATTTATATAAAATATTTTTTGTTTAAAAAGAATTACGAAATGTTTAGATGCATGAGAAAATCGAAAAAAAAATAGATTATATTTTCCCACCCCAGATTTTTTCTGCATAACAATTGTATTGAGATGGGTATTTTTATTGTTATGTGTTCCCAAAATAGTATGAAAATTTTGAAAATAAGTTAACAAATCAAGGAAATTGTAACAATAAATAAAACAAACGATTTTGTTACCCCAACACAAATATTTCGTTTTTTTCAAAAGTTTCTAAAGTTTTTGTTTAATGGCGTAAAAAAATTTTTTTTAAATTTAATATATCGATATAAAATGTAAAAAAAAACTAATAATCTCAAATAAAAATTCATATTTTTATTTGATTTCAAAATAATTGTCAAATAATTACTTTATTATAAAAATAAAATCTGCATTTTAAAATCCACTTTATTTTCAAAATCTTATAAATATATTCATTAAATATCATTCTATTTTTATTTATTTAGTATTAGAATTACTATATTTTAAAATAATAATTTTATTTTTATATTGAACTTTATACAATTTGATCAATTAGTTTTATAATATTATTTAAAATAATAAAATAAAATAAATATATTTATTAATTTATAAAATATAAAATTAAATATAAACCTTATTTATTTATTATATAAATTTTATTTTATTTATTTATAATTTTATAATTTAATATATGATTTCGTTTTTTATAAAAAAATAATAATATATAAATAATAATTAAATTAAATATTTAAATTAAAAATTATTTTTTAATATTATTTTATTAATTATAATAATTAAATTTAATAAAAATCTAATAATAGTAATAATTATTATAAAAAAAAATAATTTAATTTAAATTTAATAAAATTATAATTATTATATAAAATAATATAATAAAATCTATAATAAAAATAATATATAAATATAGGAGAATTGTTAGGAAAATCAGATTCTGAGAAATTTTTGATTAAAATTAAGTGTTTAATATATTTTAATCTAATATTGACAAAACTAAAATGCTAAAAGTTTTTAATTTATTAAAAAAATTTCTAGAACCCGATTTTCTTAGCAATCTAAAGGTTTTGCAAATTGTCTAAATAATAAAAGATAAAATATAGCAAAATTATATTATAATCTTATTAAAAAATCTGCAAAACTCAAAAAAAAAATCAAATTATATTAAAGCTTATAAAAATGTAAAACTATATCAAAACTTTAATAAAAATTAGTAAAACTAAAGTTTAAATATTTTATCAAATTCAAAATAACTTTAATAATAAAGATGGATCTATTACTATTTTTTAAAATTTGCAATATTGTGGAATTTATAATATTATAATTATTCTGTAATATAATAATTATTCTACAATATATTAATTATTTTGCAATATATTAATTATTTATTGTATCGTAATTATATTGCGGAATAATTATAATATTACACAAATAATTATTATTATAGATTTGTATTACAATTAATTGCTAATTCGTCTAAGATTAGCACTCTTATTATATTAAAAAAAAAGGATTAAATTTGTCAATCATATTGTCAGTGTTGAAAATTTGCCCTAGAAAAATGATTTACAAAGTCATTAGATTTAATTCTATATAGATCATATTAAGGAAGATCTTGATCGACATATTGCATTGGAAAATCATTTAATTTAAAGGATTTACAAAATTCACCTGATTTACTTGTTTCTTCTATATTTTTTGTACAGTCTGTTTATTCTGATTACTTTATTTTGTCTATAATTTCTTTAACGTTTATAACTTATTTTATTTCTTTCTATTATTTTTATAGTTTATATTATTTTTATTATTTTATTATATTTAAATATATTTTTATTAAGACATATATCTATATTTAGTTAATTTATAGCGTAACAAGTAGTTAGCTGTAGCAAAATCATTTTGTATAAATAGAATAGCTTTTTGCTTAAACTCAGTTGTAAGTTTATAAATTCATTTGTAAGTTACTTACGAATTTCAAGTTATAAATAAAGGAATCAATTTAAATCTATACAAACTACTTTTTCCTTTAACGTTGTTCCTCATTTAAGATTGTTGTGATATACTATACTAACTTGTTATTGAGTTCATCATTACGAGTTTGATTAACATATCTTAAATTCTAAAATGTGATAAATTGTCAAGTTGATTCAAGTATAACAGATACCTATAGCACTTAGAGAAAATCCTAAGGTCAGAAACTCTAACGTGTAAAATTAGCTGCTGCAGCCTTTCAACTTAAACGTTAAGATAAATGAAAATAAACCCAATAATAATATGCATAGTACAGCAACTTCTAAAAAGGATAATTCATTAATGACGCACAGATATTAAACAAAGTCAAGTGACATACTAAAATGAAACTCAAAAAAAGGAATTTGCAAAAAAAATAATATATTCATACGTAAAATAATTAGTTTACTATAGATGCATGTCAGATTTACAGTTCAAATATAACTAAATTTTGACATTTTATTATACTTTATTTTATCATTTATATTAAAAAATAAACAAATATTAACCTTCTAAGTTATTTTCTAGGATTTTCCTACTTTTAAAATGCGTTTTGCTACTTCTATTATCTGAATTACCATTGTATGTTTCTAACCTCATGAAAAGGAAGTAATCCAATTTACAATAGTACTTTCTTTTGATACACTTTCTACTTCTATTTCTCCTTCTTACACTTGTTGTATTAACTTACTTCTCATTTCTGCTGCCATCATTTTTTTTCTTAGATTAGTAATTCCTATATGAAATATTATTTCAAAAAGATTTTGATGCATATAGAAATTTGTTTTACTGGCTCCCTAGTTTTTTGATGTTGCTGTAATGCCTAACCAGAAATAAAAATCTCAAAACTAAATA